CTTATCTGGGTTTGTCATTATCTACTTGTCATCTGCCATTGTTCCATGGCAGTGATATCCCATCATCATCGGTCACTTGTCACAGCTGACTATATAGTGTGACACCTGGGCACATGGATCCTTGAACCGTTCTCTAAGGATCCCCCTCTGTGCTCAGGTGAGTAGTATACCTCCCTTGTATTTGATAGTCTCTAAGGATCCCCCTCTGTGCTCAGACTCATGTGAGGTTGTTGTGTGCTGTGTGCTCTCTTCCTTCGGGCTGGCAGGAGTTGCCCTTACACTGGGAGCCATCACGTCACCTTACCCACGCGAAGAAGGTCCTGAGAGATTGGCAGAGAAAACAATCAAACCCAGACACACGCATTCGCCTCTTGCCAACGCTCGAAGCTGGACATTGGGACTATCTGATTCATCGCTACAAACCCAAAGACGAGCGCCTTCCATATCCCCAACGACAGCTCTTCGACCCTTACGAGAACGTCTTCCTACCCATTGGCCTAGTTGATGAGGACATCGACCCTAGAGAGGGGGTAATGTCATAGTTCGGCCACTTTTTCATCTTATCATCGACGATCTTATCTTATCTTGGCACGACTTATCTTATCACGGATCATGGCATCAGACGGTCCGGACTAGGGGTTCCAGGGATTCTCTTCATCGATTCGAGGCTGCGCGACATACGCTCCGGAAGGTTCTACTACGACCCATGACCAGCGTTCCATGCGGTACATAGCCCTATGACTCATTAGTTGTAGATATGACTCAGACTGGATTTGGGTATAAATACTGTAGCTACTTGGTTGTATTCTCCAGTCTTCGAATTCACTTCTCTTTTCGACTTGTTTTTGGGTTGATTGTCACAACACCCTGCTCCCCCTCTGACCCCACGAGTCCGTAAGGAGAAGTGGGAACGCAAGCTCCCTTCCTGCTATGTTGCTGCCGCCTCTCCCGGGGCCAATTCTCTCCACCTCCCCCTTGAGATCGAGTCCACCGACAACGCAGTGAAGTTATCTCTCAAAGGCCTGGTCAATTGTGGTGCCACATCCGGCTTCATCGACTCAGACTACGTCCTCGAAAACCACCTCCCCGTTCGACGCCTCACCCAGCCAATCCCTGTTTACAACGTGGACAGCACGCTGAACAAAGCCGGTTCCATTTGCGAAGTCGCCGATGTGGTTCTCCGTTATCAGGGCCACAGTGAACGCGTGCAGCTTGCTGTCACTCGTTTAGGCAAGCAGCAGCTCATTCTAGGGTACTCCTGGCTCCGGAAGCACAACCCGGAGATCAACTGGGACACCCAGGAGGTAAAGATGAGCCGCTGCCCTTCCGGTTGCTCCACCTGCCGGAAGGAACTTTGCGAAGAACGTCGATCTGCCAGAACCGCGGCCCGGGTGCTCCGCACCATCAGACAAGGTCCGGTTCCATCCATCTGCGCTGTCGACGTTGAAGACCACGAGGACGAAGAGATGCCGGAGCTTTCGCCAGATTCGGACGATTATGACCCTGAAGATGTCGAAGAAGATGACGACTCCTTGGAAGCCGGTGACCGTATCTTTTACACCCGCTTCAACTCTTCTGAAAACATCCAAGCCACCAGCACCGTCTCTCAGCGACTTGCCGAGGCATTCGCTAAGAACTCTGCACCTCCTCGGGATACCATCCCCGAGTGGGCCCGCAAGTTCGGAGATGTTTTCAGCAAGGAGTTCTTCGACAACCTGCCAGAGCGACGCCCCTGGGATCACGCCATTGAACTGGTTCCCGACGCGAAGCCGACCAACTGTAAGGTCTACCCCATCTCCCCTCTTGAACAGAAGCAACTCGACGAATTCATCGAGGAGGGCATGGCTACTGGCAGGATTTGGCCGTCGAAATCGCCCATGGCATCCCCCATCTTCTTCGTAAAGAAGAAAGACGGCAGCTTACGGTTTGTCCAAGATTACCGAGCACTGAACGCGATGACAGTGAAGAACCACTACCCACTCCCCCTGATCAATGATCTCATCAACAAGCTCAAGGGAGCTCGGTTCTTCACCAAACTCGACGTTCGCTGGGGCTTCAACAATGTGCACATTCGTCAAGGTGACGAGTGGAAGGCAGCGTTTCAGACAAACCGCGGGCTCTTTGAGCCGTTGGTGATGTATTTCGGCCTGACCAATTCCCCCGCGACGTTCCAGACGATGATGAATGACATTCTTCAGGATCTCATCCTCTCTGGTGACGTCATGGTGTACCTCAACGACATTCTCATCGCACATTCCAATATGCACCGTCACCGGGAAATCGTGAACAAAGTCCTTCGACGTCTCCACGAGAACAAGCTCTACCTTTGTGCGGAGAAATGCGAATTCGAGATGTCGTCAATCGAATACCTCAGGGTGATCATTTCACACAACCATGTGGAGATGGACCCAGTCAAGGTTGCAGGTGTGGCGGAGTGGCCAGCTCCGGTTAACAAGAAGGAAGTGTAGCAGTTCCTTGGCTTCACTAACTTCTACCGGAGGTTCATCCGGGACTTTTTGCACATCGCCCGTCCTCTTTTCGATCTCACCAAGAAGGACGTGGCATGGACTTGGGGCGCCAATGAAGAGGCTGCGTTTCTTGCGCTGAAGAACGCTGTTACCTCTACCCCAGTCCTGCAGCTCCCGGATGCTTCCCGGTCTTACCGCCTCGAAGCAGACAGTTCGGACTATGCGACCGGCGCTGTCATCTCGCAGCAGTCCCCCGTGGATGACAAATGGCACCCGGTCGCCTTCTTCTTGGAGAGTCTTAACGAGGTCCAGCGGAACTATGAAATCCACGACAAGGAAATGCTCGCCATTGTCCACGCCTTGGAGGAGTGGCGACACTTCCTCGAGGGTGCCAAGCATCCTGTTGAGATCTGAACCGACCACAAGAATCTGGAGTATTTCCGGAAGGCCCAGAACCTCAATCGTCGCCAGGCCCGTTGGTCCCTCTATCTGTCTTGCTTCGACTTCACCCTGCATCACCAACCTGGCCGCCTCATGGGTCACCCGGATGCTCTCTCACGCTGCCCCGACCATGGAGTTGCTTCGGACAACGCAGATGTCACGCTGCTTTGCCCGGAGCTATTCCACGTCCGGGCCCTCGAGGGTCTCACTGTCTCTGGACCTGAGACCCCCCTCTTGCGCAACATCCGAGAGGCCCTTGCCGGTACCCCCGACATGGAGGAGCCCATTGTGTTGGCAGCACGTGAGCTCCTCAAGGAACGCGGAGTTCACTCTGCTTGGGCTTGACACCTGCATCGCAGGGCATGCCGGCCGCTTCAAGACGTTGAAGCTTGTCTCTTGGAACTACTGGTGGCCCCAGATGTCCCGACACGTTGGCCGGTATGTGGCCACCTGCGACCTGTGCTGCCGAACCAAGGCGCTCCGCCAACTCCCAATTGGGGAACTCCACCCCATGGAGGTCCCTTCGGAGCGCTGGGAAGCGGTGTTGGTCAATTTCATCGTGCAACTGCCAGATGCCCACGGATATGACGCCATCATGGTTGTTGTTGACATGCTTGGGAAGCGTGCCCACTTTGTCGAGTGCCACAGCCTTCTCTCTGGTGAGGGTGCAGCCCGGCTCTTCTACAAGCACGTCTGGCGCCACCATGGGCTCCCCACCAAGTATGTCTCTGACCGGGGCTCTCAGTTCATAGTGGACTTCACCCAGGAGCTGTGGAAGCTGGTCGGTGTCTCGCTGGCCATGTCCACCGCTTACCATCCGCAGACTGACGGGCAGACTGAGCGTGTCAATCAGGAGCTTGAACAGTTCCTCTGGATCTTCACCAGCTACAGCCAGGACAACTGGGACGAGCTGCTCCCTGCCACAGAGTTTGCTTACAACAATCATGTCCACTCCTCGACACAGCAAGTCCCGTTCATGACGAACACCGGTCGGCTCCCTCGTATGGGCTTTGAGCCAAACAGGCTGTACTCAGCTGTGAGCGAATCAGCAAACGAGTTCCGCGACTGAATTGCTTCCGGGGTGGCTGAAGCCAAGTCTGCGCTGGTGAAGGCTAAAGAGGAGTACAAGCAGTACTACGACTGCCGGAGGACCCCAGCTCCTGACATCAAGGTCGGAGATCGAGTTTGGCTTGATGCATCTGACATAGCAACAACGCGCCCGTCCCTCAAACTCTCCCATCGACATCTGGGTCCCTTCAAAGTCACCCAGGTTGTTGGGCATGGCGTCTACAAGCTTGATCTCCCTCGCCGCCTCGCTTGCCTCCACCCGGTCTTCCCTGTTGTCAAGCTCCAACTCGCCAAGGACGACCCATTCCCGACACGCCCTGTACGCGAGAAGCCACCGCCAGTCGTGGGTCAAGGGCCTGGCAAGGAGTGGGAAGTCGAAGAAATACTGGATGCCAAGATGCGCTACCGCAGTGTTTGGTTCTTTGTGCGGTGGAAAGGCTACAATCCATCCCACGACCAGTGGGTTAAGCACTCTGATATCTTTGCAGAGGATGCTGTAGCGGCGTTCTACCGCAAATACCCCGGCAAGCCACATGTCATTGCTGCCACTGTCTTTGACTCCCTCCCTTTCCAGCACCCCTCTGCTACCATCTGCACGTTGCGTCGAGGCGCCGCAATCCAAGGGGGGTAATGTCAGGGGAACCCCCGCTTCGGACCGATCAGCCTGGGATTTGGCATGCAATTGCGCTCGGGTGACCTGTCAGCTGTCACGCGCAGCGGCCCAGACTGCCGGGCCGAGCGCTTCTCTCTGATGGCAGGTAGTGCCATTGTTCCTATTGTCTCCATTCCTATTGTTCTGTCATGGCCATTGTACTTATTGTTCCCATTGTTCTTTGTTTGTCGCTGCGCGGTCTATTGTTCTTGTACCATATAAATAGTGGCACCTGGCAAGGAGAATCCCCAACACGGTTTCTCTTTGGATTCTCCCTTGCCAGGTATGCCGGTCTTGTACCTAGCTACCACTATTGATCACCTTTGGATTCTCCCTTGCCAGAACTCTGAGATCGGGTCTCGAGGTTGCCCTTACAGCTCCTGCGAATCTACCTCGGAGTTGTGTTCCGTGAGCCAATCAAGACTGATGAAGATCCAAGCTTTCCCTAGACATGTCAGAAGGAATGTGCGTGTCTCCACATGAGGACCGATTCTTAGCCTTAGGTCAACGTAATGCGTGATCCGACTGCTGATATTCTCGGTGTTGTCGGCGTTACGAGCCACAATGGGTTGTGGGAGCTCTTGAATATCCAACTTCTCCGCCCGTGCATAGTCGGTATCAATGCAGCAGGTACTGCAGCCGCTATCGAGCAGCGCCTTGACTCCGCGCGTTTTTCCTGAGTCCAGACCCGTGATCTGGACATATGCGTCCATCAAATGCCTCTTCCTCTCGGCCTGGTAATTGCGCAGTTCCTGCGCCAACCTGCTGGGCTGGGGGCCCTTCTGTTTCTCGGCCGCCAATTTCCTCTGGATGGCATCTGGCACCCTTGTATGTTTGGGTGCTTCTGGAACCTTGATTTCTGGAACCTTGATTTCGGCAGATTCCTTAGGCGCTTCCTCCCTTTTTAAGGATTGAGCCTCCGGAGCAATGCTCCCCTTTTTGGTCTTTGTTGACGTGGTTTCTTCTCCACAAGCCATAAATAAGTAGGAGTCCAAAATTAATTTATCCTCAGCTTTCTGATCCTTTTTACTCTGTAAATACTCTCTATTTAAGGCTATTTTTCTTTGTCGTTCTTTTTCCATATCGGCAATGAGAAAATCGTGAATATTCGTACATAGTGAGTCCGAGATTGTGTATGTATGTGTAGAATCGTTCATGTCTTTAATTGAAACAAGTACAGAAAATCGTCCCTAGTCCAGACGCTCCACCTCCTTGGCTAGAGGAGTGGAGCGCTTCAAAAACCCTTCTCACGCAGCTTCTTGGCAATCTCCTTGAGGAACTTGTTGTCCTTGTCTCCGTTCTCGATCTCTTCAAGCATTGTGGCCCAATTGAAGAATGTGCGCTTCTTCCTTGGTTCCGGGCAGTTCCGCGCAATGTGCCCAGGCTGCTGACAGTTGTAGCAGATGATATTGCGGCCGCAGGCGTGTGTGCGATCAATTTCCATCGGGATCGGTTCATTGGCAGCTGGCCGGGTCGGAGCGGGTGTGGGCGCCACTGGTGCCACCTGAGGGCGGAATTGGGGTGAAGGCTGCGGAGTCGAGTGCACATAGGATGTCTTATGCAGCTGGTCGCGCAAGGCATTGGCCTCGATGTTGACACACCAGTTCTTGAAGGCGCCGTATGCCTTGGGCAGGGGAACGCCAGTGTTGTAGAGGCGGCTCGCAATCTCGCTACTGAGCCCGCGCTCAAGAAACTCGATGAGGATATTGTCTTGATCCCCCTTCTTGTATTTGCCCTGGTCATCCGTGGTGGTGACTACGTTGTATCTGGCATCCGCAGCCAGCATTTCGAAGTCGGAGATGTGGTCCGCAAAGGACCATCTGCCCTGACAAAGGGCCATGAGTCAGGCAGCAGTGACTTGTTCTGCGTTAGAATCCCCAAAGGCCCTCTGGAGCTCCTCCAAGAAGCTTGTTGCGGTGACTCCTGCCTTCATTCCTTGGAAGCCCTCAAAATTGTGCTGCTTCCAGTTCATTGCCCATCTTGAGGCGGTGCAGCTTGTGCCGGTCTCATTACAGAGGTAGGAAAGGACGAAGAGGATTTTTGTTTCGTCCAGCGAGAACTCCGATCAATAGGCACCGATGTAAGTGGTGCACGCGTCCACAAAGCCCAGGTACCTGGATTTGTCGCTAGGGTTAGGGTTAGGGTTAGGGTTAGGGTTAGGGTTAGGGTTAGGGTTAGGGTTAGGGTTAGGGTTAGG